TCGTTAAACCGAAGTAACAGCAATGGTGGTGGTAGTGCCGGTCATCGTTGTAAGCAGAATAAGACTTGTAGTAGTAGTAGTAGTAGTAGTAGTAGTAGTCGTCGTCGTCGTCGTCGTCGTCGTCGGAGTAGTAGTAGTAGTCGTCGTCGTCGTCGTAGTCGCAGTAATAGTAGTAGTAGTAGTTGTAGTAGTAGTAGTAGTAGTAGTAGTACATAGTAGAAGAAGTAGTAGCAGGAGTAGAAGTAGTAGCCGTCGTTGTCGTGGCGGTAGCATTGGCAGTAGCAGTAGAAGGAGGAGTAGGAGTAGTAGGAGTAAGAGGAGGAGTCAGAGTACCAGCAGCAGTATGTCTGGTAGTCGTTGTCGTCATGGTCGTATTTTTTGTCGTTGTGCAGTCGTCGTCGTCGTAGTCGTAGCAGTAGTAGTCGTCGTTGTAGAAGCTGGAGCCATGTCGCAGTGGCCGTGATAATAGCAGCGGGTAGCGGTGCCGTGGTAAGGGTGCGGTTCTGAGACGGGAGGGCAAGGTCTGGCAGGCTCGAAAGGACTGGAGTCACATGTGCCGCCATGCGTCGCAAGCCGCGAAGTTCTCGTGCCTGCCAGGTTGATCTGCAAAATGTGGCCAGTGTGACAGCTTGCTTCGCAGCACCTAGAGCAGGAGCAGCTGGCCTTCTGTGACAGCATGTAGTGTGTCCGTCGAAGACACGCACCACATCCTCGAGACTGATCAGATACATCGAGATGGTACTAGTACTCAGACGAGCAAAGGCCCGTGTCTCCTCCATCCATTTCAAATCGACTGGCTCCAGGCCAGTGGGCCTTGGCTGTGTGGCAGCGCAGCAGACCAGTTGAAGCTTTGCGTCTTATTGGCTCGACTGCCCGTCTGCGGTGATGCAGCATGCAGACTCCGGCAACCCCACCCCTCTTTTGCTGCAGTTGCAGCAGACACTCAGATCCGGGCTTGTAGAAAAACAAGCTGTCAATGCCATGCGCCGACAGGTGCGCAACTTGCTCGACGCGAGTCCAGACACGTGTCTTGTACGTGTCGAAGCCTTAGCAGGCATGACCAGCAGATGCGGAACGGTGAAAGCTGGTTGCACCAACTTAAATCTACCTGCACCGGCTTCAAAACTGCCTATACGCAGGGGCACTCGACACCACACCGAATTCCAATGCTGTCATTGTCCGGGCCAAATAGGCACGCATGGATTGACTGAAACACTGTTTAGGTCTACTGCAATGGGAAGCCGAAGGTTTTCCCCGACTGCAAGAAAGCGGCCGAGTGGTTGACCCGTCTGCTCATGCAGCGTAGGAGGTGCGATGATTATGAGCGCATCGACAGAGGATGCGTAGACCTTCGTCGCCCGACATGCAAGTGCTTCTTGGCTTGCAAACATGTGACCAGGTGCCTGCATCCCTCAGTCACCCGAACATCTCAGCACAAACACTGCATTGCAGGGACATTCTCCACTACCAGCACAGCTTGGGCAGCCACATACAAGGAATTAATTGCCAGCACCTGGACCCCACGATGCTTTTGAGGAATGGAGACGATGTCCTGGGCCGCACTCTTTTGAGAGAGTTGACATCCAGTGCGTGCTTGTCATGGCATTGCTCTCAGGACTACTGCTCTCAAACCCGGCTAATGCCCCAAGGCTCCAACCAAACGTACATGTTCTCCAAGGTCGCACCGACTTTTTCACCATATAGCTTCAGCGCATGGTCCATGGCCCTTCGTTGGATGTTGTCTGGGCCTTGGCGATTCCAAGATGGCCAATGATAGCTGAAGAAGACGATGTGGTTGCCCATCATGTGAAAGTGGGAGATCTCCTGGACGGACACCCATCTGCAGGACGTCTGGAAAGAAGCTCTAGTCAAGTCACGAGTCCCTGTCAAGGTCCTCTGTGCTGTCCAGCACTCTCAGCAGTCCCAGGTCTCGCAAGCCCTCGTGACAGCTCTCCAGCATGTCGCTAGACAGGTCAACAAAATCCTGGCACATTGGCCGCCGCAAACTCTTTGCACATGCCGGAAGCTCAATTCCACTAGCCCCCGCGCACCCTGCAAAGCGCACGCATACAGAGACACATCATCCTACAAAACAACCACTCAACACTGTATTTTCGGAAAGTGAATTAAACCTCCAGCCGTATATTGATAGGAGAGGAAGGCTTCCCAACTTTCTTGGTCTGCGACCTGTCTCTTGTATGCAACCCCTTCAAAGACCTTCTAAAGCCTTTAGAAGCCCTTCATAGGCTCCTACAAGCCCTCGGAAGCCCTTAAAGGCCCTTACAACCCTGATAACACCCTTATAAGCTTCGTGTAAGCCCTTTTTAAGCCCTGTATAAGCGCTTTACAAACCTTGAAAGCCCTCTAGAAACGCTTAGCCATTGTAAACGCTCTAGAAGCCCAAACCTTAGATCTTTAAGCCTCAACCCTAAACCCCTAACCCTTAAACCCTAAACCCTAAGACAAAACTTTACCTCTCCTCTGCCTGTCCCTTTCATCTTTGCCTCTCCTCTTCCCTATCCTCACCCTCTCTTCCCTAAGCCTAAACCCTTAAAAACCCATTGGTATTGTCAGGATTTCACTAGCCCCCCGCTTGTAATACAGGCCTCCTCCCAGTTCCTGCTATAGACGGCCTGGTTTCTGAAACGGTTAGGAACTGAAGCAAAGTTTCCTTATACAACCCCCTGGTTCAGCTCACAGCGTTTACTCGTGTTTCCAGCGACATGTTGTGAAAGGTCCTGAGTGATAGCTTACCTTCGGTGGCCGCAGCCGAAATCCGAAGGCTTGTAAACACAATGCCTACCTTTACGACTGATAGCAAGTTGGAGGACATGGACATTTCTACACTCAGTGGACATAAAAAGTCCATGCTTGTCTCGGCTTGAAGGTGTTGAGTGAGGGTGTTTTTGGGATCTTGTGCGTGAACCCATCCATCCATGCCACATGAATGCATGAGGCGCGCAGCTTCAAGCACTGCTCTCGCAGCTTTGGTTAGAAGACTCGACTTGAACCCTGAACGGCCCTGAACTTGGGAAGCTGCAGGTTGCCGGCCTTTGCACGAATGACGGACATCGGGTAGCCGAGCTCTTTCACCTGGGCAGGGGTGCTGCTGCTATTGCCACTTGAGCTACGTGCATGAATACGATGATCGTTGTTACTACTTTCGCTACTGTTTGTGGGGCCGGGCCGAAGTAGAAGTATTCGCACAGTCGGCGGTAGGAGGAGCAGTAGCCGTAGCGGTCGCGGCGCGGTGGCAGGAGCACTAGCAGCAGCAGTAGGAGGAGGAGAGATAGCAATAATAGTCGTCGTCCTCGTCGCAGCACTGGCAGTGGCAGTGGCGATTGTAGCAGTAGTAGCAGTTTGCCCAAACCTGCATACTGCGACATTCCCTGATAACATGTCCGGTTTTTGTTTGCGGGTCTTGGATTTGGCAGCCAATCTCTACGGTTAGGGTTTTGGGTCGGCCAGGCTTCGTCTCCTTTCAGGATTTCGTTTTTGGCAACCTACATCTCCCCTTAGGTGTTGGGGTTGTTATTGTCATTGTTCATGTTATGATTCTTGTTCTTGTTCTTGTTCTTGTTGTTGTTGTTGTTGTTCTTGTCGTTGTCGTCGTGATTGTCGTCGGTGTTGTTGCTAGTTCTGCTGCTGCTGCTGCTGCTGCTGCTGCTGCTGCTGCTGCTGCTGCTGCTTCGGTTGCTGTTGCTGTTGCATGCTATTGCTATTGCTCTTGCTGCATCTTCCTGCAAGCTCTTACCAAGTAAGCTAATACTCTGACGACAAGCTACTGCCTTGTACTCGTGCTAGCACAAAGTAGCACTTCTACTGTCACCACTGCTGCCACGACAAGGATGACAGAGACCTGCTGCACTGCTACGTCCTGACTGCCGCTTCAGCCGCTGCTGCCATACATACTACAATTTTCTTGCTCCGGAGGACTGACCTAACCGTGTGCCTGCTGTCGTTAGCCTCTGACTGAGTCTAGCACGCAAGCAGGCGGTCGAAGAGCAGCTATGCAGCTATGTCTTGGTTTACGGCTACAACATGCTACAACCTCATGCTGACAGGGTGCAGTAGACAGGCCTTTCAAAACCGTGTTCTCAAGCTGCTCGTCCTTCTCCTGTCAGCTCGAATGCTTCAACCCTATCTCCTGAAGCATCGGACTTTCGGGGCGACGACAGCTTGCGGTGTCCTTGACCAGTCTCTTCTTGGCTTGCACCGTACTGTGAACGTATGCAACACCGGAAAGGATACCGGACACCACCAGCAAAGTCAGGATGACCTCATGACGGATTTGAATTCCACATAATTAAATCGATCTAAGCCAAGGGTACTCCGGCGGCTACGTGGCTGTTCTTGAAGCGCGAGTATTGAGAGACCGACAATGAGCGCGGTCAGGTAGAAGTCATTGTCATCTGGAAAGTACCTGCGAGTGCACAGCATGGCGACTGGCCATGTCATTGCGCACGCTTCTTGCATCCCGGGTCGCGGAGGGCATATTGTTGGATCTCGAGAATCCATCTCACTGCGATGCAGGAGGCAAAGATCATAGTCCTGACATGCCACGGAGACAAGGACAACATGATGATCATTGAGCCATCCGGGTCAAGACACTGGCAGAAGTTTTTTCACAAAGTACTGCTGGCAAGTGTCGGACAGATCATCCAAACCCAGCGTTGCCCTGTAGATCGCGAGTTGATCCAGTTTGCCTCGCTCTTGAGTTTCGGAGTCCCAGCCAGCTTTGACACCTGCAGTGGCTGAGGCGACTACGCGACTTGGCGAAGATGGGTGTAAAACAGATTGCAAAGGAAAACAAGTGCAAAAGCTTGCAGCTAGACATGAGCCTGACAGCCTCATTTCCAAGTTCAAGGCTGAGCCATTCAACAAAGGGAGACCTGGGATAGCCACATCGGTGCGAACAGGTGACGTCTTATCACCTCATCCTGGTCAATCGCGTCCGCAATGTAGTATCTCATCTCCGTTGCCAAGATGATGTAAGTGTACATCTTGGCACCTTTGGCAGTACATCGTTGCTCTAAGACGTGTTAATGGCATGCCATGTCTGCCTGAATCAATCCTATTTGTCCTCGATCGCCCGGGAGATGGTCTAAAGTGGTAGTAGGGCCGTAGGGAGCCTGGGGGGCCTGCATTCATGCCGAGACCAGCCTGGTAGGCGCATGTTGAAAGCACCGTTCGCAGTGTCCGCTAGCGCCCAAATCTGCATTGCACGGTGTTCCGCGTATGCTTCCTGCTCGGAAGCAGTGGGCAGAGAAGCGGATTCAGGTTGGGTCTCTTCGCGTATGAGAGGATTTCTGGAATGGTTGGACTTTCGTCGCTGCGATTCGGACACGACGTGGCGCAATGGAACTGGCCTGTGACCAACCTGCTTGGATGAAGTAGCCACCATCCGTGGGAAGCTGCGAGCTCCGCCAGGAGTCGAGCCAACTGGCATACCTGCAAAGCAGACATGGGGAGAGCCACTGAAGCACGAGAACGAGAGCACCATCAGTCGAGATACATCGCAACATCCGCATCTGCTGTGTGGGGGCTGTATGTGTAGACCATGAAATCCCACATCATGTCCTCAGCTGCGCAAAAATCGTCAAAGCCCCTTCAATACTGCAATTGTGGACCTGACAAACCCTCCGCAAATAACGAAAGATGGTCTTCACATTCAATACCTTCATGAGAAAGAGAGGGAGAGTAAGAGGGAGAGAGGAAAAGAGAGAAGGACAAACCGGATGGAATGGACTTGGTAGGGGTTGCTTCACTCGGTCCGTTACTCAGCCATTGCATAAGCGCCAGGCCAGGCGTCTTTTATCGCATCTGGCGCCGACTTCCGTATCAGAAGCCCCAAGCCGCCGCTCCAGAAGAATGGGACTCTGTTAATTCGCTGTCCAGCGAGTGGAGACACCGGAAGACTTCTTACACGATCCTGAGAGTTCGAGCATGTGCGAGCTCTCTTCGCTGGCTTGATTCTTGTAGCTGTGCTGTAAGACAACTTAGAGCTTGAGGTCAGGAATGACTATCGCCACTGCAATATGAAGCAATTGAAGAAAGGCGCATTAAGACCATGATGGCCTCGGACAGGGATAAGCTCCCCATGAGGACAGGTTTGCTCGGTGCAGTCCTGACCAGAAGAGGCTTTCCAGTCCCCAGCTTGGTTCAGAAGCAAAACCACTGCTTTATGTTTCTGTTGGGGGGACCTGCTTTTGATTTTGCAACATCGCCCATATACGTCCGTTGCCGTTGCGTGGTTGTCTGCTTTGGTTTCTGTTTTGCTCGGTCACCGGGGCCTGGTGCATGCCGAGTGCTCGCGTGTGTACGTCTGCACAGGTTGCATGTTGTGCTTGTCTCGTTCTGGCACTTCTTGTTTTTACAGGCTTCGAAAGCCGTTGATGCTCGTGCTTGGTCCCGAGTCTTTCTGAAATGCTGTTGCTGATCCTCTTCTGTCGGGCCCCGTACTGTCGCTTCTTCCGTTCGTCCACATACCACATACCTGACAAGGCCGATGCTCCCTTTTGCGGCAAGTTCGTTTGCCCTGGTGGCTTCCGGCGTATCCTGTTGCCACTTCGCTGAACTCTCTCCAGGAATGCTAAAGCATTCTCCACAAAGTCCGCTTGGGGCGGTGCAGAGGTGTTCTGAAAGAGTCCTGCAGAAAGCCATCGATCTCCACCCTCGTGGTACCGAAGGGCTTGAAACGATAGGGGTCTGCATAGCTGCCGTCCTGCAGGGCATGGAGACGGTGACTGCAGGTCTTGCTCCGAATCCGATGCAGATTGCAGCACACGTCTTTCTCGATGTAACAGACATCGTCATGGTACCGCGTTGCGTACACCCTACAAAGATTCGATGATAGGCAAGACGCTGTCTACTCAGCTTCCAGCGACTGTGGGCAATCGCGGTGGCATTCCTGTCCTTCATGGTGGGTTGCCAGAGAATGTGGCCGCTTGAGTTCTTCCGCGCGATGCCGTTCAGGAAGATGCCTGGACCCAGGTGCACTCCGATCAGCCAAGGTGACGCGGAGCATTCCGCACTATGGCTGACACGTAATGTCATATAAGGTGCACACACATAGCACATCTCTCCCTGTCCATTGTGGAATCTCGTCGCCCAAAGTCCAGCTATTGTCTGAACATTTTCAAGAAAGACTCCCAAAGTTCTAAACACTCATTGACATAGACCTCGAATGTCAGGTAAAGCCCTTCTTGCCCACCTTTCCAGCAACCTGGAGGCCCAAAGCCAATGGCACATCTTCCTGCTGAGGCTGTCCATAGCACAGTAAGGTCTGACTGAGGTGAGCGCAGCATGTGGTCAGTCTCGTTTCTTGAGTCTGACGACGCTTCGGTCTCCCTCCTTTATTATGCAACGCCTGGAGGATTGGAGATGATTGGAATTCAACCCGTCCGAAGAGGTTGCTAGCGACACTTGGTTCGGCGGTTGAACACTTCCTTCCAGTGAAGGGAGAATTGCCTCTTGCTCCTCCTTGCGTGATTGTGCATGCTTGAACGTCCCCATCAGAGCCGGCAACCTATCTGAGTGCAACCCCCGCGATGCTCAGCAGACGGATGCTGCAGCAAACGAACGATCGGGCACACTTGAATGAGCTCAAGTTTGCAAGCAGGATCGCCACCTCTTGCATACACCGGCACGAATGCTTGGCTCCCGCGATGGGTCAACACAAAGGGTCGTTTGCCACTGACTTGCAGTTCGATGTTCAGAGAGTGCGCAACAAGTGGTTTGTGCACCCACATATTATATATAGTTCTGGACAGTAACAATGCAAATTAACAAGTTCGTCGACCACAGAACAGCAATGACCAGCTACACCGAGTTCTAGCACAGCAGCATGTCTGAGCCTGAGCTTGACATGGACATCAACACTCTCATCTGAAGCCCTAACTTCCCGGTCCTGTGATAAAGTTGTCCTTAGTATCGAGGCTGAATTTCAAGACTCGAAGATAGCAGATGTCGATGTGCCCTTGTAGCCATACAACAAACACCCGTGCGGTGCCAGCCTCTCGTCTGGTGGCAAGCGCAGTCAATGCAGTCAGGGATCACTAATGCAGCCATCTGCTCCGACCTCTTGCTGGAATCGGTCGTGGCTTGCGGCGGGGGCTCCATGACAACAGTTTACACCAAAGTCTATTATATTTCATTCCAGCACAGATGCACCCCTAGAGGGCAACTGTAATTGAATGCAACAGGCATAGATACAGACACTCGTGCATTATTTTAGAAAGTGCATCGCGCCTGCCACATGGCTTTCATTATCCGCACAGCTTCCCGGAAGCCCGGCGTGTCCAGGTTCGGCACCATGGTCTGCGGATGGAAAAGGAAGCCTTGAGAAGTGTCCTCCACAGACTGCACCCTGCTGCGTCTTGAAACAAGCCATGACAAGCAGGGGCATACTGTCCTTGGTCTGTGCGAAGGTCGCCCAAATGGCATAAACGATTTCCGCCCACCACCATTCCTCGAAGCCCAGGTTGGCAGCTGCACAGACTGTACATTGGGAGCAGTGTCCTACAGTCAACATGAAACCTCGGGCTTCCTACTGCGGCCACAGTGCAAAGGGACCAGAACCCTCCCGAGGAAAATGGCAGAGGCCAAAATCCGGCTCGCCATCTTCGTTGAGGTCGGTGCCGTTGTATCCTCAAGCCAAGTATTTCAAGCCAACATCGAGGACGTAAGCGCGAAAAGTCGCGATTGACAGGACGACAGCAGGTACCTTCTGCGGTTGCTACGACTGCTCTTCCTCCCCCTTTTTCGGGCACCTCGACGTAGCCGCTGTTGCTGTTGCTGGTTGCTGTTCTATCTGTTGTTGTTGCGGCTGCTGCGGCTGCTGCTGTGGCTGCTGCTGCTGCTGCTGCTGCTGCAGCTGCAGCACCGTTGCTGCTGCTTTGCAAACCATACCACAGTCCAGTGTCTGCTGCTGCAACTGCTGCCACCCACCACCACCACTGCTGCCACTTCCACACTGTAGCACTACCACCACCACTTCAACTACAACCATCTGTACGGCACTGAGGGGAGAGAAGGGACACGAGGGAGACCAGTCTTTACAGCAGGGCCTGTGTTGCAGCATCCGTTCATCTGCTTATGCCTTATGCAAGACGTGGAAAAACCATGGGACTTGAGCGCACACAAAAACATGTTGATGCGGTGGGGAATTGCTGATTGTCCCAACACGGACTTTTCGAGATGTTTGGCATCACCCGGACTGGCATCACATTGACAAGGGAATGGGCCCACCAATTACTTCGCAAGTGCATTGGCTCAAGCATTCTCGGATTCGCTGTTCAGTCAGTGAGCTGACTCGGTGTTGCGATCTCATTGTAGTGAGATCAGGGATGGATCGCAATGTTTGATGAAGGCTGGCTGACCTCTACACCGCCACGACCTGTAGCATCCGGTGGTTGCGGCATCATCAGTAGCATCGGAGGCATCTTCGCAATGGAAATGTGCATGCAAAGATGACATGCTGGCATTCACTTGAAACCCCACATGACATAGGCCGGTAACGGTATGGGTAACTTAAATTGCTCGAGAGCTTTGCTTTGCGCCGAGAAACTCTCAGCCAGGGCAAGGGCCTCATCCCAGGTGTTCGGGAGTGGAAGCTCGTCCCTTTCTAAGAGGTCCAATCGTATGATGGGGACAAAGAAGTCGCCATCGTACAGCAGGAAGTCCAACTGGTCGGTGCCATTTCTCCTCACGAATCCGGAATCCGGACCCAGGAACTTCTTTGTTGCGACTAGACACCGCTTGCAGGGAACGTAGTGTATGCACAGGCAGCTGATGCAAAGATTTGCGAAAGTTCTCCTGTAACGTCCCATCGCTTGAACCTGCAGGCTTCAAGGCTTCAAGGCTCTTGATGCACCTAGGCACTCACATTCCCTCGGACCAAGCTCAGCCGCCTTGGGGAAGACGTTCTCCCATTGCAGTGCCTCGTTCGACCGGGCAAGGCGTGGATGAAGCGGCTCCACCAGTCCCAGGTAGCTTGCTTCCTTGGGAGATGGAAGGGTGGAGGGGATTTGGCAGGCCCTCAGGGCAGGCTTTCCGTGACCAAGCTGCCGGGTAGTGAGAATAACTCATCATGTATGCATGATAAATGCCCAGACCTGCGCTGTCCTGGCCAAGAGCCGCTGTGAGAGGGACAAAGGGACTGAGCTCAGATGTTGACCGGCCTTGGTGCCCAGGTCCCGGATGGGATCCTCCCAGATGTTCGATGCCTCTGAGAAGATGATGCGGCCACCGGTGCACTCCTAGCAGCACTACCAGCCACTTTGCACGAGCGTGACTACTTCAGCAGCATCCCTCTCAGTCTGGTTGCCAACTTATTTGATGACATGCCTTCCGCTACGGTGGGGAGAATGCCTGGAACTCCTTTGCTCGCACCAGGAAGTTCGGAGAGGATATCTCGGTATTATAGGAGAGGTAGTTGGCCGTGAGGTGAGTGTACTGTCCAGCGGTCAGGAACTCCTGACCTGGCGGATGCTGGAACTGCATTCAAGGCTCATCAACACTAAGCAGTCAGAGCCTGGCAAGCTGCAGTTGTAGTTTGTCGCACTGCAGCAAAGAGCACAGGTACTCGGTCCGCAGACCTGCGCTGCTCAGGAAGGAGCAGGAACGAGCAAGCTGCCATCCTGCTCGACTGGAGAAGAGAGTCGGACATGCCTCACTGAGCTGGCCATCACCGATCTGCCCCAGAAGAGCAGCGAAAAGAGCTGTTGTACCTGTCCTCCTAAAGAGGCATTCCTGCATTTTGCGGAGGCGCCCAAATTTTGAGCCTGAATGGCGACGTGGCACACCTGCGGTTGGCCAAATCGATCTGGTGCTTAGCATGCTCAATCACAACACCTATATCCAGTCTTGAAGAATTGTTTCCCGGTGCCCTTGGTGCCCCGCTGGCCACGGAGTCAAAAGGCCCCGAAGCCTTCGGCTCGCCGAAAGATCGGCGGAAGGCGTTGCGGAAGTCCTATTGGGATGCAGCTCCATTGTGCCATGAGCAAACCAAAACAGCAAACCAGACGAGACTTCCAGATGGAAGATCGAACGGCACAGTAATTGTAATGCGGGCAGTAAACGCCGTTGCGACGACGGCAAGCACTTGCTATCCTTATGCGGCCAGGCCAAGGCATGCCTATGTCTCAAGTCATTTTCCTGAATGTTGCCAAGCTTCAACATGAACCTTGTTCCGGCTATGCTTTTGCACCGATGGCTGCTCTCAGCCGTCGAATTCAGGTATGCATGAGGATCAGTCTGCCGGTTGCAGGGCTCTGACGTCAGAGTAGGTACACAGCCGCAACAGTAGTTGCAAGAGGCGGACATGAGATGTGGATTTGTTTTGCAGATCTTTGATTGGGCTGGCTGGGCCGGACGGGTGGAGAAACAGAACACGACATGTGGCAGGCCTCAGTTACCGTCCTGATGCCCTAGACAGGCTGCCGATGCTGTACGACAAGAGGCTTTGGGCGATGAGGCCGCGGCTTTTCCCTGAACCATCCTGAACCCCAAACCTTGGTGCTCTTCAAAACTGGCCGTGACAGGCCAACCAACCGTCCTGGGGAGACGCAGGCACCGGAGCCTCGAAGTGTGCAGGAATCACACGATCGAAATCCTCCCGGATGCGTGGGACTGGCAGTTGCGGCTTACATTCTTCCCTCTTTGACCTCCTGAGCTCCCGCATATGGGTGTTTTTGTCTGGCCTAGAATGAGTCATGTGGTTGAATGTTGGGTTTATTGTGCATTGTTGATAAGGGTCTCCTAGAGTAGCTCATCTGCTTGAGTTTCCAGAGGATCGTGGATCTGTCGTGGATTTTTGTGATATGGCCTACAGAAGGCCATCTGGGTTGAGTTTGTAGTGGGTCTGTTGTGGAGTTTTGTTGAAAGTGCCGAAAGGTCTGGGTGTCGGGGTCTGGGTTCAGGTCTGCGATATGTCCTCGAGTAGGCCATCTGGCTGGGTTTCTGGTGGGTCTATTGTGGGTTCGGTTCTTGTTGAAGGATCTCGGTTCGGGTCTATGGTGTGGCCTAAGGGCCTGCATGGTGAGAAAATGGAAGTGGCCATGGGCAAGTGTACAAGCAACATGTTCCGGTCCCACGAGCGGACGATGTCTTCGACGAAAGGCCAGACCTTCTGGCATGCAAGCTCGTCGCGAAGGCTGCTCACGCAGGGTTTGCGGACTACGGCGCATTCGGGACTTCTCTGGGACTGCAACTTGTGTCGAACGGGAGTCTCAGTTACTGTAAGCCCTGCAGGCATTGTGACGTGAAGGCACTGGAAATTCCCTGCATACTTCAGCGCTTTCCATCGGCATTAGCTCTGCCTCAAGCCAGAGCCAAATGCTGAACTGGCTCTCTTCCAACCCCATGAGGCAGTGATCTGTGAGCCAAGTAGAGAGGACGGGGCCCCGACATCCGTGGACAAGTAGCGATTCAGGATCAGTTCCGACAGGATCGGTGCCACCACCAGACCACCGCCTGTCCAACAGCAGCCTACAGATCCAGCGGGGGCCTAGCTCTTCTGCGATGTGCAAGCTGCTGCACCCTACTCAACTCTGAGCCATCACTGCAAGTCTCAGTCAGCGACTCCCGAAGGGTCCCCGAAGAGCATCGAAGGACTTCTGCCAGTCCTCGCCGGAGCACCGGAAGACCCTGGGGCCGTTCGGAGCGCAGGAGGCGGGCAAAGATTCAGTTACCGCGTTCCCGCAACTCGCCCGTCCTCCCGAAAGCTCCACGGCAGTAGGCCTCCCCAGCCTGAGATTAAGACAGGATGAATGATCAATGTTGGTGACCCCGCTATCTTCCAGACGTCTCCATTGATGTGTGGACAAGGACACCTTCCGTTCTGAGGCCGCAATGGAAGCTCCATTACACAAGAAGACAGCACCCGGGCATTAAAGCGCTCAAGGTCTTGAAGTCATGCCTGTCAACTTGGTCAGTCTTGCCTGAGCCTCAAGTATAGGAAGAAGCACGAAGTGCCACAGAGTTTGACACAGCCACTTGTTCGGTGACGCTTCAAGCGCATTGAACATGGATCGGCTCCAAATGCTTCCGATGACCGATCAGGCAGGGTCTCTCACAGCCACAGGCGTGAAGGCTGAACCTGTTTTTCACTGAGATCTTGGCCCAAATCCTTGGCAGGGGAGTTCAGCGCGTCCTCAAAAGCTTTGGACCTTGCAGCTCAAAGCCGCAAGTGTAAGGCGCAGATTTCTGTTTTGGGGGAGAGCTAGCACGGAGATCACGAGCCTCCCACGAATAGATCTTGGTTGCTGGCTGCGCATGTCATCATTAGATCCAAGCTGAGCTCGCAACACTGGCTCGGGCTCAATCGCAGATGATTGGAAAAAGAGTGCAAACAGAGCCATTCGTCCTGGGCACAGAAGGCGACAAAGCCTCGTTCGGGTGATGACACCATGCCCAGAAGCTCGTGTGGTATCTAGTGGCATGTTGCTACACCTGGGACGTCATCCTGCTGAGTGAAACGTTGCATATCGAGAATGCACGATCGTGACTCTTTCCGTCTTCGTGGCTTCAGGAGACGGGCGACTTGGTGCCCAGTTCCAGATTCGAGGAGCAACTTTGGACATAGACCTTCTTCAATAGGAGTTAGGGTTCGGGGAACCCTTGGGGATATAGACCCCTTTTAAGAGAACCTAAAGTTGGGTTAAGGAGGGTCCACTTTAATTTAAGGGGTCTCCCTAATACTACCCAGGATTCAAGCAATTGGCAAGCAGTTGAGTTGTGCTTCCAGCACCCGACACACCCGGTAAACTCTTAGTTCAACACTATGAGGCCAAGCCCGACAGGGCACCTACGTAAGAGACAGTGGCACCGCTGGACTAGGAAGCATCCCAACACATCGACAGACTGACAGACAGGCAAGCAAGCAGGCAGGCAGAAGACATGTGAAACGCTTAGGCCCTTCAGGGCTCCGACGCCAGCCACGAAGCAATGCCTCATCTGATCCCTTGGCAAGCTCTTTCTCCTGTTCGTTTGTTCTGGCTGAACTCCCCCAAGTAGGTACCATACTATAATCCTACCAATACCTTACCGAATGTAGACAATAACACGGTTGCGATCACTACCATGCTTGTTGCCAAGACGAGGACGAGGACTGGCAGATTCTCAGTACGCTGCGCTGCTGTGTCTGTCAAGGGTGGTGGGATGGATATGGACCATGGATGAGATTCTTCACAGATGGTTCATGTGTTCCCTTGCAGCGTGACAGACCGGTGATTCGGGTGATCCGCGAAGAAATTCGGTAGTATTCCTTTTTGCCACATCCCCAAGGACGGGCCCAGTGCCCGGACAGACCCGCAGGCTCCACCCACCCTAGGCTTGGAAATTCTGAACTTCTGAAGTGCTGCGGCCCTCTCGCCTCCAGCGGCTGCGTAGCGTCATCGCGCGCATGGAAGGCCAGGGCTCTCGGCTCCTCATCCCGCAAACAGGAGTTTTCAGTGCCAGAATCCAGAACCTGAAAGGCAGCCTTCTTTGCAAGATCCCAACAGACTTCAACCACCGGGCGCGGCCTCGGCAACTATCTCGGGAGGCTCCGCAGACACGGAGACCACCAAGTCTGTAACCAGCATGGTCCGAAGCCTGAATGCTCTTTAGACTGGGACTCTCAGCTTTAGACTGATTGAGGTCCACATCCCCAAAATAGCACCAGCAACCGTTCGAAAGTCTAACAATTTTCACGGAAACATCACAGATGAGAGAGGACGGGCCCACCGCAGAAGTTGAGACGAATCTGACATATTGAGTCTGGAGGGAGAAGAATAGAGGCAGAGCTGCCGAGAAGGCTAAGCTGAGCCGAGATCCTGGCCTGCGGATATAGAAAGCCTTAGTCGTAGTCATTGTGTTCGGCACTGACCACAGTGCTCCGAGCAAATTTTGCACATCAACCTTGTGCGTGAGCTGGGTGACCGCTCAGCCTCTGACCGCTTCAGCAAAAGGACCATTGTTCAGGTCTTTGCCAACAGGTCCGAGGATGCGGAAGTCGATCCTCGTCAGGCTTCAGCCCTGCACCCGAAACATCCAGAAGCATCTGGGTCGCACACCCTTCCTTCTGCCAGTCCTCCGGCAGGTCCGAGCCTCGAGACTGGCACGTCTAAGCGCACTGTCAGAGGTCCTTTGGCAACTTCGGTGACTCACTTCTGAGGTAGCGCACTGGTGTCTTTCGGAAGTGTGCGCAGGCGAGCATCCCAGGGGAAGCCGAGAAGCGGCAAGGGAAGCTGCAGCGGCACTGAGAACTGCCCAGGACAAACCCAGACCTGGTGGGGCCGACATTGAAAGTGCCACAAACTGAAGACTTCTTCATACTTCTTGTTTTCATCAATTCCCCGCACCTCTGCTTTAGGAAAGGCCTGAGAGAAAGGCCCTACAAAGTACTTGTGCTCGACCGCCACAGTGGGAAGAACGATGTATGCAACTTCTCCGTGCTGCTCCTCCAACTCCCTGAGTAATCGGACACACTCGTCTGTGGGGGCCACAGGGGCGTAGACGAAAAGCCCGGGTCGCGTCTGCATGCGATATACTGTCATCCGAATGGGAACGTGGATGTACAGGATGCCCTGCTTTTGCTCGAAGGTCCACAGCTCACCTGGACTGTTCGGGGAGATCGACCGAAGCCCGACGCATTCTCATGTTGTCACGTGCTTAAGGCGGCTCTGGTCGGGAAACGGTGCTTCAGGAGACTGCGAGGTGAGTCGTCATACTCGTGACAGAAATCTTGCCTGGCAGCAACATGATGCCGGCTTCGTGCATTTCATCGTGTACAGGAAATGTGCGAAGAAGCTCTGAAAGCGTACTCTGGCATCCCGAGTGACGCCACTCATTAGTCAGCAGCAAGCGTGGCATTGGTGAGAAACCGCGTTAGTAGCTGGGTTTGGCAAACTGTGGGGTGATCTCTCTTGGTGATTGCAATACTGGTCTTTGCGAGTGTTTTCGGCGAGAAAGCACCTAGATGCTAAGATTTTGGAGAGCCCAGTCGAAACAGTGAGCACATTACATAGGGTTTTAGTTGTGGCACCATCCGGCAGTGGCCAGTGCAGCAGGTGTCCAATATTCAACTTCTTTTCTGATGGATGCCTTGCGTCAATAAGTTCGTAAGTTCGGAGGTTGCAAGTCTAAGCCGGGTTTGAAAGACTGCCAGGGCAGGAACTCTTTGCGACTCCCGGCAGAATCCCTCGATCAGACTCCATTTAACTGAGCTACTTAGGTCTTGCACTGTCCGGAGTCCAGCCTGGGATGACCTCATATCGCAGTGTTACCCGGCGCTCGTACGGAGCAATCGGCAGGGCCGGCCACAAACCCCAACGCTGCTCAGGCTTCGGGGCTCCTGGAGGTCTCCGCCACTCTGCCACCTCACTGGTGGCAGTGACGGCCTCAGTGGCCACTGCACGCCGCGCCGTCGCGTTGTCAGGCGACGGAAGGAAGAAGCTGCAGCACTGCCCGGTCAGAAGCAGAATGGCTGCAAGCCCACATAAAGCAGTTCGGGTGCCACCTCTCTCACTCTGCAGCTTGGGCTTGCCCGGCAGCCTTCGACGCATGACCGAGCGAGAAACGCGATGTCTCAACTCTAACTCTAGGAAGCTAGCGCACTGTAGCTCTAAGAGCTCGAGCCGATGGGCAACGCAGCAACACTTCACAGCTATTCCATCCTCGCCTACTGCTGTCGGCTTCGTAACGATTAAGACTTACAGCACTGTGCAATGCGAACCCACCTCTGTACTTCTAGAAGTCTCGCTAATCTTCGCCAGGACCTGGTCTCGGCCCTGCTTGCACTCCTGAAGGAAAAGCCGTGGTTCAAACTGCGCTTGGGTTGGCAAGCAACGAGCACCGCAGGTGAGGGCAACTACAATTCCCACTTGACAGGGTTAAGACGAACGTGCTTGGACACATGTCATGTCAAAACTACACACCGACGAAGAGGCTCTGGACCGTATTCCCTACGCCTCACGCTCCGGATAAACTATGCAGCTGCGCCAGCTTACACAACTGGCGTGCATCTTTCGTGGAAGCAGACTAGACGTGCAAGGAGGTCAACTGCCTGCCAGCACTTGAGCAACAGCCACCAAGCATGCGCTTGCAGAGAGGCGGTCCGCGTTTTCAGGGTCCAGCTTCAATCCTGCACAGCTCAAGCTCTACAGCCAGGAGGTGGGACTGATTGCATCCTTGCACTGGGAGAAAATGCAACAGCCAGCAGCATTGCCAAATCTGCCACCGAAGTCCTTGCTCGTAAGCCTGCAGAGACTTGTGGTATTCCTTCATAAAGAAGTGCCTTGGCATTCGAGCTTGGTGCTCCACTCATGGGTGTGATGGGCCCCGAGACGCCTTCCTTGTTTCCTTGGTCTGCTGAATGCTGCTTGGTTGCGCTGCTCCTTTCCTGGAATACGCTTTCACGAAGCTCGGGTCCTGAAGGATAGAATCTGCCAGCTATGGTCTTCAGAGCGCGCTGTCAGCATTCCCCGCCAGCTTGAGGCACTCATCCAGGTCTCGAAGAGCATCAGGATACCTCGCTTCGGAAGATTTCGTGGCATCCAAACCGCTGCCACAATCTGCTCATCTCATGCAGCGCATGCAGCAAGCTTTCTGAAGCTGGAACACCCTGTTCGACCATAACCATGTTTTGTCGGCATGAATGTTTCAAACAAACTGCAATCTGGAAGGCGTTCGCATCCTGAGACCGATGCGCCAACAGTTTGGTCAGCGCGGCTGCCCTGTTGGAGTACATCTTTGCATCCTCACCAACTTAGCGCAGCAAACTGGGGCAAAAGCTTCCAGGACTGTCCGACTTCCGAACATGGTATTTCAGCGGCAACTGCATGAAATTCGTAGGAGTTTGACACTCCGAGAAACGTTTTCTTCGTGGCTCACAGCCGCTCCTCCGGGGTCAACCACAATCTAGTCTTGAGCAGAGCTCTGAACACTTTGCAGCGGCTGTGAGCACCACAGTGTCAGCGGCAGGACAAGCTGCAGAGCTTCTTGTAAGCCGAACAGCATGCTCTTGGCAATCTCACTCAGCCAGCGCCCCAGCGGATAAACGCAAGTAGCCCCAAGAAACCCCTTGAGGACTAAGCCTGGCGGGGCAAAAGTTTCTGAGTTTCTGTATCGAGCTGATCTGAACTGATCTGAAATCAAAAGGACTCGTTCGAGTTACTAGCCGAGCGCCGTACAAGGGCTGAGTGACTATCTGTAATGTCTTGGCCCCAGCCTTGCACCAAAAGGGCAACATGTGCCCTGTGCCGGGCACACGACGCACGCAGCAGTTTCTTGACAGGCCAGTCTTGAAAACAGATCGAGAAGACTAAACTCGTTGAGACTCTGTGTTCATTCTAGCACCATTTATGGCCGATACGAGTCCCAATGGAAACAGCTGAGTGCACGGACAAGGTGTGCTCAGCACAGTTCAAATCAGGAACATGCAAAAAAGACGTTCGAAGCAACTCGAACGCGAGGCGAGTTGCAGATTTTGCGAAGCCTCACCAGGTCAGTACATAAGGCCGTCTCTCACACAAGCTGAACTCCCACGTGAAATCCTGCACCGGACGGGAAGTGTTCCTTTGTCTGCTGCCAGCCCGACCCTGATCCTACTCAGCCGCTTCTGCCCGCCGATCTTCTACGACGCTGCCGGGCCAAGCTCTACTGTGACCACAATGCGTCAAGAGCTATCTCGGAGAGTGCGATGTGGCGGGGACACCCAGAAGGCTCCGCTGAAGTGCATATCTTGAGAACAGGTCCTTGGCGCTGCTGGCCGGAGCAAGGAGTCAGCCGGCTCACCGGCTTACGTGCGTCGCACAAGGGCCGCCACCTGGCACAGGCTTCCACCCGGACCCCTCCACTGGTAACTTACGACCCGCGGCCTGGTCGATGCAGACCAAACTGCAAAGCAGCAGGCCCACGTCCACGAGCGGTGCAACACGAAGGCGGTAGAACCTGGTGTTACATGCAAGATGCCGAGAGGTCCCTTCAGTGAAGTGCCGTCTCGCCGCCTTCTGAACCGTACACCAACCTCGAAACCTCCCGCATGGTCCAACTTCGAAAGAGGCTGAACCAATCTCACTGCCGCGGTGCTCTCCGGTTGGATCCCAGTCTGCTGCACAAAGCTCTGTGGTTGCCAGCAGCTTCCCTGCCTCATTGGGACATGGAGCCTCTAGTGGTTGCCTAGAGCTGGATTGCAAAATGCCTGGCTGTTCTTCGGGGCTCACTACTCTTGAAGATTCTTGAAGCGCATGGACCGGACTTGAAGTGCGGGTTCAACCGCTGGGAGGTTCCTGCTCGACTCGCCTCATCGGTGATGTTGACGGCATGGTGATCGAAGGAACCCCAGAAGTGCATGGTGCGCTCTGGAGTCACCAGCTCGTAGCCTTCCTCCAGCATAGCGAGGGAGCGAAAGTGAGGCAACAGCTATTACATTATGGGAAGGCAGGGTTCTGCATGATAATCCTTGTTTAGGCTCGCAGTGTGTGGGAGTATGTACGAGAAGAAGAACCGTCTCAAAGGCTGCACTTTGCTAAAGCAGGGCTTGAGGCTGTGCCACAAATACAGCCCCCTCCCAGTCACTGCCACCAAACATGTGGTAGGTGTATACTGGTGTATACTGGTGTCCTGCGTGCTGTTGCGACGCAAGGTGGCATAATTGACCTCAGCACACACTTGCAGTACGAGGAGGAAGCCATCGGCCTTCCCAAGGCTGAACTGGCTTCATCCCCTGAGCTCCGCGCACCGGTGGAAGTCATCAGGGAGAAAGACGGGCCATCATTGCTCCACTCGGGGCTCACCCTTCAGACCGAGTCAAGCGAATGCTCGGCAACTGCGTGGTCGTGCTGGCGAGCTGAGCTTCTGACTTTCCATTTCGGCAGCATGCGGACCTAACAACACCGAAGCACAACAGTCAGCCTTCGCGCCCAGGTACGACACCCACCGGGGGTTGCGAATTGCTCTGCTGTATTGGCTCGTGCACGACGTTCCAGAGTTTGGACGCGACCAATAACGTCAATGTCATATCCTCTCGAGAACCCTGTAGGAGGCAGAGCGCGCGCATAGCCAAAATTGGTTTCTTGGGCCGAGTTTCTGTGCAAGCAGCTCTCCAGAGCCTGTCGTCAGCTCCAGTCGCCAGGAGCTGCCCCTTGGTGCATCCGACACTCAGAAACCTCTAAACACGAAAGTTGCAGCTTTACTTATCGCAGAACTCTTGCTTCACGCCAAAGGAGGTTTCTTACCACTGCCGAACCACAGAGCCCAGACTCCAACAAAGCATGGCATCTCGAACCTCGACCTGTTGATACTGACCACACCATAGGCAGAAGAACATAGCACACTAAGAAAAGGGACACCTTGTGCTGCCTGAGCCCAATGCAAGGCATCGGGGCCAAAGCTCACAGACCTCGCCCTAGACCTCCTTCCCATGGAAGTGGAGCGCCTCCAATGTGCACAGGCCCAGGATGCTTGGATCGCCAGGGGAGTAGAAAGCTCACTGCCTGCATTTGCTCGCGTGCCCGTCCCGGCCTCAGCGGATCTGGAGATGACGGAGACGAGCCCTGTCAGAATTTCACCGGCAAGCGACCGTCTTCGTGAAGAGTACATGTCTGTGGGGAGCAGGCCTGGGCCAAGCTCCTGGGGCGGACGCGAAGGACAACGTGGCCATTGGGGTCGCACACACCTGCAGGCTGCATACTGATAGAACGTGCGAACCTCCTTTCGACACACACACACACAAGAGAGAGACACTACAGCGCACGATATTAGCTGAAAGCATCCTTGTATCCTGGTACACGCGTGTCAAAGTGTGTCTCCAGTGCTGTTCTGACAAGTTGCTAAATGGCCCAAGTGAAAGGGGCACGATGGGAACGAGCAGTACACACTCGCCTCAGCTTTCAGGATATGCAGGATGTTGCTTCCGTCATTCAATCACTCATGAGCTGCACTCGAATGGCCAACTAGCTTCAATGCTCTGAGCAGCACGTCACTAGTCATGAGGCAACTATGGCAGCAACTATGGTTGCTGGGGAGAGTAGTAGCTTCGTGGCAGCTCCGCCCTTGCAACCCAAGGAGCAGCCCCTAGGCACGATCAGGTCAGGACAGAAGTCTCCGCGAGCTTCAGACCTGTACAGAGCTTGGCAAAGGATCGGGCCTACAGTCTGGACATATATATATATAGTTATTTTTGTATTTATTTTTATTTATTTATTGATTTATTTACTTGCTTATTTATGGTACCCCGCCCCATGGATCTACCATTCTGTTCCCTGTCAGGTCCGCGACCTCGGAGCAAGCGATTTGCCACCATCACAAAGTATCGAGAGCTTCCCAAAAACCGCTCAAAAAAATGTGAACAACCTATTCCCCAACTGCATTCCTAGCAAGGCTCTGAAAAGAGAGTTTGTTTACTGACCTCTCCATGCTTTGAGCTTCTCATCGTCACAACGTATCGAGAGGTTCCTAAAAACCAACCTTTGGAATCCCAGTCCATCGTAAGGTCCCTAAAACCTAAAACAATTCCCCAGCTCCATCCCAGGGAGGCTCTCAAAAAAAATGTTTATGTTTCGGGACCTCTCGATACGTTCGGCTTGCGAGCTTCACAAAGCATGGAGAGCTCCCTAAAAAGCCTCTGTCTGAATGGAGCCGTCACAAAGTATGGCGAGGTCCCAAAAAAAACCAATCTTTTCAGAGCAGTTCTGGGAATGGATCAGGGCTTAGGGCTTGCAAGGTTTAGGGTTTAGTGCACGGTTTAGTGTTTGGGGTTTGCACGGTTTAACCACCGAACCCAAAGGCTGACCCCTCTAAAACCTTACAGCCCATGGCCTTTTGCAGCCGGGCCTCCTGAGACTTAGAGTCCTCAAGGCCTAAGTATTTGAACTTAAAGCACTGAAGCCTTAACACCTCTAAACTCTAAACCCAAAACCTATTTCCTCAAAACACACCGTTTCTCGAAACAAAATAGATGCCAGTACCCTTTTACACCCGAAACCCTACAGCCTAAACCCGAGTAGGGTTTTAGGGCTCACCCCTTGGACATCAGGGCTTCTGGCTTAAGGAACAACAAACCATAGCATAAATGATTTCTTATTACTTGATCTCGAGCTATTTTAATCGGAGACACCCCCCTACTATGTCTGAGTCCTGAACCTCAGACGCTGAAATTCATACTCAAGAAGGCTATCAACCTGTTTCGTGGCCTAAATTATGTCTTGCTTCCGTCTTCCTTCCCGATACATGTGCCAGTCCCTTCAATCAAACCTTAGGGCTTACACGGTTAATGGATTAGGGTTTACACGGTTTAGGGTTTAGGGCTTACACGGTTTAACCACTGAACCCAAAACCTGAACCCTCCAAAATGCCTTGTTTCCCTAAGCGTAAGATGCTTTTGGGATGGGATGAAAAACACTAAACAGCAAACCTGTTAACCTTGTATCTCTTAGCCCTAAAGCCCTCAAGTCCTGAAGCCCTAAACCTGGTTTCAGCACCCTTTTAAGCCCTGAACCTTACAACCGATTAGGGCTTTAGAGTTTACGCTTTGAACATCAGCTTTTCAGGTTTAAGGAACACGAAACCAAAGTATCAAACAATTGCTTGAGCTCGTGCTTTTTGGAAGGGGAAACCTCAGTACCATTCTTAAGTCCTAAGCCCTACGGCCTGAAATTCACCTTCAAAAACAGTTAACCTTGTCGTGGCCTAAATTATGTATTGCTTTCGTCTTCCTTCCCAACACGTGTGCCAATCGCTCCAATTAAAATGTAGGGCTTACACGGCTTGGGGTTTAGGGCTTGTGTGTTTAGGCTTTAGGGTTTACACGTGGTAACCACCGAATCCAACACCTGAACCCTCCAAAATGCCTTGTTTACCGAAGTGTAAGGTGCCTTTCTGGTGCAGCACACTAAACAACAACCCTGTTAACCTTGCAGCTCTCAGCCCTAAAGCCTAAAGCCTAAAGCCCAAAACCTGAAGCACTGAAGCGTTAACACCTCTTCCAGTAAACCCGAAACCTATTTCCTCAAAACACAATGCTTCTCGAAACAAACAAGTTTCAGTACCCTTCTACACCCAAAACAACTGCATCTCAAACACATGTAATAAAAAGATCCTTGAGGGGGTAGCATATATATATATATATAACATGTATATATATATATATGTATACATATGTATACACATAAACGTATGTGTACATGGATGGAACACATACATAGATATGTATGTACAATACAATATAATATCATATCATATAATATAATATCATATCATATCATATAATCTAATCTAATCTAATCTAATCTAATCTAATCTAATCTAATCTAATCTAATATAATATAATATAATATAATATAATATAATAGAATATAATATAATAGAATAGAATAGAATAGAAGAGAATAGAACAGAATAGAATAGAATATATTATAATATAATATAATATAATATAATATAATATAATATAATATAATATAATATAATATAATATATAATAAATCATATATCATATATATATATATATATACACAGATATACGTACTTGCGTGTGTGTGTGTGTCCAAAACTATCTCGGACTGAGCAAGGTTGCCCCGGCGCCTCTCATCCAAATCACTCCCCTCGCGGGTCGGCGAGGGAGATGCGACCTTCCATTCTTTGGGGGAGCAGGTCTGCAACTGTGACCCTGACGTTTCGCACCGAACCTGCATGTAGCTCGCGCGGCCTCGGTACTCACAGGAGGGGACAGAAGGCTGGGGAGCTGGGGGCAGCGGGATCACAGAGCGGTTGGGAGCCGCGCTCGGCAACGAGTTTGCAAAGGACTTGCTTCCTGCTCAAATGGAAGGGCAGCTGTTGGCCAGCGCTGCAGCAGCGCTTGCATGATAGACTCTGACGATGCATTGAACACTGCACTTATAGGTCCCAGCGGTGGCCATATTGTTGCGGAAAGTTTTGCTCAGGGCACACTGTGGAGCACATGCACCTCGAGGCTGCGCCAGCGCGTTTGCGGGCAGCCTGACCTCCTGTCGCGGCAAGCTGCCCGTTCTTCCCCTGACCTGCAGTTCCCACATGTCCCCACAGCCTATCGAACCTCTCGAACCAGGGAAACATGTTGCGCGTCTCTCCTTGGCGTCGCTGCGCGCCATAGGCAGGTCTGGACGGGTGAAAAGGAAGGCAGTGATCGTACTGAGCACCTGCAACTGAAAACATGGAACTCAGAGGCTTTGGGTTTGAAGATCACTCTCCTGAGCCCTGGGCCAGGACACCCAGGATCAGGAAAGAGACCGTGGTGTATCCAAAGGAAGCAGCTCGTACCTTCTGATCGCGAATCGGCATTAAGGCTTTTGAAGCGGCACGACATGTTTGGATGACAGGGCTTCTGATTCCTGATCAATCACACATTCTGGGAATAAGCAAAGCTTACAGGCTTACAGTGCACTCTCGAAAGCCTGACAGCTGGGCACCTGCAGCAGGGAAGATCTCACGCCGCCCGCCCAAGACCGGACCTAGGCCACCGCCAGGGCTTCTCCGGAACGCGCGGAACGCGAAGGGATTTGCCGAGGAGGTAAAGGCTATAAATGAGATGCCTCTTCCGAAGAAGCTTCGCAAACTGTCGACACATGCAAAAGTGCATGGGGCCCAGCTGCTTCACATGATGCATCCCATCCAATCTTTCTATATCCCTCTCAGGGTGTAGCAGCCAAGAGCACAGTGCGTTCCACCAAAGCCCGACCACTTTGCAGGCTGTAAGAACTGCTGTGCAGCGCCGCTTCCTCCCCGTCCACACGCAAAACTGGCTTCTGTTGGATCCCATCGACTCTGACGTTCGCAGGAAAACGCTCGAGGACACGACTAGCACACAAAAAGTCTAACGTATTTAAGTACATGGGCCAACATCCAAGAAGGTAGGTTTGAGAGGCTCAGCACAGTCTCCGCTACGATGTCAGCAGAGTGCGACTCCAATGTGCCCATGCGATGTGGACAACGGCCCTAACGGGAGAACAGCGATCGCAAGCACAGCATAGTGTACAATTGTCCTCTGCTGGTTGTGAAGGCCCTACCAGCTCTGCATCCACATCGCCTTCAACAGAGGATGTCAATGATGGACAAAGGTGTTCGAGCTTCTTGCAGGGCTCACAATCTTGGAATAATCATGTACTTCAAGAGTCAACTGCAAAACTCTCTGAACAGGCCTTGGACGACAGTGCGGGATTTCTGCGAGGTGGCCTGCACGGCAACCATGGGCACGGGACTCAGGTCAAGCGTCGGTAATTCATCAAACCACAAGCCTGGAGTAGCGTCAAGCTGTTTGTGCACCTGTCGAGGTGCACATCGTTCGCCTGGCCTAGTGATCCAAACTCTCTACGACCTGAAGTCCAGCCTTGCGGATCCTCTGCCCTCTGAACCTCCAGGGCTACAGGGTCTCAGCAGTTTTCCAGTGAGCTCGGCATGCTGCGATTCCGCTGTGCCTGTGTCGTAGCCGTCTCCGGCCAGGGCTGGCACCAGAAGCAGCCAGGAGAGGATCCGGCAGGCGAGCATGGCAGACGTCGGTAGCGGGTAACGAAACGAAACGGATCGCGTTGAGTTGGGTGCAATCCGATGTATCCATTGTTCAAGACGTATCAATAACACTTCAAATTCAAATCTAGCAGAGAGGCAAGGTTGCGTCGTTGCATTGTCGTTGCTATCCTGACAGGCACAATGTGCTGTGCTGTAGGGTCTGTAAATGTCTGTAAGTAAGTCTACCTTTGGCACCAAGGCAGGGCCAGAAGGCACAGCAGCTTCGCAGCCGCTGAATTGGTTCAGTACCTCGGATGCATCCGAGAGATGAAAACTCACCCCATTCTCACGCCAAGCCTGGGAAGCGGAAGCTTTAATACAAGAAGGACTCGTCAGCGCTAAGAAATCCGAGGCACCGGGTCTCTTCACGTCCTCCCATGACCCGCCGAGAAGCCCACAGGTGGAAAGGTCGACTTGAGCCCAAGCCAGGAGCAAGCAAAGTGAGCAAAGCTCAGCACGTTACAGTTTCAAATCCTGGTCATATATGGTGTCAGCGGCCACCGCTATCACCACCTAGTCCGGAACACCTGGTGTTTGACAAGCGCTCTAACAAGTTCGCGGATCCCAGTGGTCCTTGGGATTGCGCTTGAGGCCTTCGTCGTATTCCGCCTTGGCCTCCGCATACTGCTTCTCCTGAAACGGCAAAGCTGAGTCAAGCTTGTGCAATTTGCGCGTGGTTTTGGGCCGCCCATCCTGGACGCAAAATGAGACCGCATGCATCGTTCTGCCGGGCTCTTCCCACTTGCAATACTCTTACAACTTCAATTGAGGCAGGAGGCAAAGGATGGCAAAGGATGGCAAAGGCAGAGGCCGGACTAGGGGGTCCCACAGAAATGCCAAGCGGAGCTTCGATGCATTTTGGCCCTCGCTGGGCCTGCGCTTTCACTCTACGTTTGCTTCAGAACTGCCCGGGCTGCCCGTCTCGGAGACGGAGAGTGTGTCGTCGCGGTCAGGGCCAGGATGGATTTGCTTCGAGACCTCAGAGCGAGACAGTGGCATTGCTGGCAGCAGCAGTGAGGCAGCCAGGACCTCGTTCGGCGGCTCGGAAGGGAGTGCGAAGCAACAGTCCAAATCACTGATCAATGTGAACATAATAGACGCGTGAGCCCAGAAAAGGCTGGCAAGAAGCAGCCACAACGGACCTCGAGGCCACCAGTACGCATACAATGCTGCACCCGCATGGAGCAAGAGGAGACTTCGCGGATAAAGCCATCGGCTTTGCTTGGTTCTCACATGGGCCAGACCCCAAAACTCTGCAAGAGCGTAGCAGAGAATCCATAGGAACCAGACAAAGGACCTCTGCAGCGCCTCGATCAAGATCCAGAGCATGATTCCTGCGGAGGCTGCCCAGGCGATCCAAAGTTCAATAAGGACCGTCGATGGAGCTCGGTTCACCCGTCGCATCTGCTCGGCAATGAAAGCGAAGTGCCGCATCTGTCGCAAGCAGAGCATGTTGTAAATGTACATTCGGCAGGATAACACCAGGAGCCTCCGCAAGAATGCGCTAAAGAGAACTGCCGCCATGATCGCCGCACCAAGAAAGAGCATGCTGCTGGCCAAATTGGAAACGACCGTCCCAAGGACCCTGCCTTTCTGGCCGGCAGCAATTCTGGATTCAACCGGTTCCAGAGATATGCCGCGTTTTGAAGTCACAGTGCGAATATGCAGGGAAGGCCGGAAGTCTGTACCACAAATTCGACCATCGGAGTCCGTTAGGAAGTGCCGTGGGAGAGCATGCAGCATGTATATGTCGTGCAGGCCAAGACTGGACAGAAGAGTTCTGGCCAAGTAGATACCGAAATACTTGGGATCCTCAACTGAGATCTTGACATGTTTCGTTCGCACACCGAGATCTCTAAATGCCGTCGATTCTATGTCCAGCCATGGGGCAGTGGCCCCTAAAGTCACCTCGTACGTTGGCCTGGGAAACGCAGCATCGTAGCCGACATAGGCGAGGGCAGACAAACGGCGCAGAACGTTTGCTAAAATGTCGCTTCCATCCTCTGTGTCGTTCTTTGAACCTGCCCCTGTCTCAAGCAAGGGCGGCTTGACAGCTTCCTGACTGAGAGTTTTGTTGTCGAATTCTTGAAGCGTCTCGGAGAAAGTGGATGCGGGCGCTACAGGCGGTGGCCGCGCCCACCAAGTGTCTAGCAGCTCGACACGAACAATGGTCGGTGACGCAGCGGCATGAGCCGTCAAATTCTCAATGTTGCTGTAGCAGCGGAAGGACCCCCATCCGCCCTCCAGTGCTACAAAGCGCGACAACCTCAACGAGGAGTCAATCTGTGTATACGGACAAACAAAGGCGATGTGAACCATCAACAGCAGCATCACAACTTGCGCCGTAGACAGCCAGATGAGCTGCTGCAAAAGCCCTCGCTGTTCTGCCGACAAAAGTCCTACGACTTTAGACAAGCCATCGTGGCATCTGCGCATGATCACATGGAGGAAATAAAGATCGGATGGGCGAACAGTCGCTTCAGAGCTGTGCGCCGGCGGATTTTCCGCAATGCCCAGACGCAAAGCAAGCAGGAAGGTTCGGGAGAGCTCCATGAAGACATCGTTCACTAAGGAAGTGGAAAAGCCAATCGCAAAGCTTGAGCGATCCCGCGAGGTCTCCCAGGGTCGATGCCAAGCCTGAGCCTGCGCCTGGGGAGCCTGGGCCTGGGGAGCCTGTGCTTGTCCGCCCTGGCTCTGACCGGATGTCTGAGAGTCTGGTGCCTCCGGACGCGACGGTCCAAGTGACTGAGGCGTCTGCTGAGGCTGTGTACTCTGCTGCTGCCCTGAGAGCTGTGGGGACAATGGTGGCATGGCACTTGCTCTTTCAGGCACCATAGCTTTGTTCGCGCGTTGCGTCGGGTAGCTTCGTGTCTAGTTTGCTGCTTTTTGTGCGTGGCATACAGTAGTTATTCCGGCAATGTTGTCAAGATGTGCTTCAACCTCGGACGTTTCCAGGGGCTTTCCACCTATATTATATACCGACTCTGTTGGCATTGACTCGCAACAAGGTTATCTTATTCATCATGTTCATGATGTGCATGTGCACGGGGCATTGTGAACATTGGGCCTTGAGACAACAGATCCGAGGTGTCCGCTTTACAACAGGGCCGAACCTCTTCTAAAGATCATATCGCCTTGAAGAACTCGTTGCCCTTTTCTCTGTGCTCCTCGGCCTGGCGAACTTTCATCCGCTCACTTCCAGTCTCTTCTCTTTTGGCAGACTGCAGTGAGCTCAGGCCGCGACCTTTGCCGGGTCGAGGTAGGCCTCTTTCTCATGCTTCTCCTTCGCCCTCTCGCACTCCTTGAGTGTCAAAACGGAATTCGAGAAGCAGCCCTGTTCGTGCTCACCTTCACTGTGACGAAGGCTTGCAGATTGCAGCTGGAGGGAAACGGGCCGTCTGCATACAGTCTCACTCGCGAAGGTGCCCGGTCCCGCAAGGAGTTGCGAGTGCTCCGATTGTTGTCCTCGGTCAGCGCCTGTGAGTCAGTCTGCAGACTTGTTGAACGGCTCGGGAAGAACCAGCAACGGTACGCAGCAGAGCTGCACACAATAACACGCCTTGTTGTACATGGCAATCGCATCATCATACCTCCAGGCCGCTAGCTGCTGGCCCTTCGAAGTTGTAAGAGACGGGTGCTTCCAGACAAACGTCGAAAAAAAAACGAAAGGAGGCGTTGGCTTTGGACAGCTGCAGAGATGGCGTGAAATTCTTCAGGGATGGCTTCCGGCTTCAATGAGAAGATGGCGTGTCACTCCTGCCCTGTGCTGCAAACTTTTTGAACTAGAAGACAGCGACCTGCCAAGAACAGGCTGTCAGGAAGTCTGCTGTCGCATGGGCACTTGTTCTGCTTCTCGTAAACAGAAGCCATCCTTTGGAAAACCTGCAATAACGCGGCACCAGGCCACTGAGCGGACTGACGGCGCAGGCCAACCTTGGCGACCTTCTCGAAGGATGCGCCACCAGGGTTCGCACTGCAAGGGCCGTCGCAGCACTACCGAAATCACTCTGCTGTATGTTCTCCTAGGCATTAAAAAAGAGGACTGTTGCGAACTTCCGCGACTCGCCAAAACTCGGCCGCCAACTCCGGGCCTGTTGATCTCATATCTTCGATCAATGAGATCTTGGCAGCTCTTGATGACCTTGTCAAAGTGCCTTAGCCAAGTGCCATCACCAAGCAGGAATGTACCGCAATCGGACTCGAAGCCCGACGCAGTAGCGGCAACAGGACCCTAATGTGTCGCCTTCCTGAACTCTGTTTGTCAGAATACTCCAGAAGCATATTGGAGCAGAATCTGTCATCAGAATCTGCTATTTGCTGCAATGCCTGGCATCTAGACCTGCCACGCGTGGATCATGCATCCCGGAGTGCATCCTCGACTGAAGACTGATCGACAGTTGGGTCCATGGCTCTGCTCCCATCTCAATGAGGACGGCATTCCTGGCACACTGCATACCCTCGGAAAGGACGACTGCACGTGTGCTTGGAACAGAACGATTACAGCTGGTTGCGTCCTTGAAAGTGCAGCATGCTACGACTCTTCTGGTCGAGGCTAGCAAGTGCATCTGACTACGACGCCCTGCCCGCGAACCGCTCCTGTTGTTGTGGTATGTGATGTCGTCGGGTACGACGGCGATCGCCTACAAAGTGGTGAAAAGCTTACCCCTTGAGAGATTTTGCAGAGTTTCAGCACAGCCACATCAGAAACCTTGTCGTACATCTCCAGGGCTTCCTTGAACTGCTTCTTCTTGTACAACTCGTTGCCTGCGACTGTTGGTGAACACACTTTAGGGATGTCGCTGTCGGGAAGCTTGTGCTGGAGCTGCTAAAATGCAACACCTGTTCGCTCACCCACACATCCACCGAAAATAAAGTTTTGTTGACCAGCTTCTGTCCTGTTGAACTGCACCAGAAAAAACTTAAAAACTGAAACCCGCAATTTAGCGGCTTTAGCGCCTGCACCACACGGTTTGGTTGCAGGACATCTCCGGCCTTTGGTCTTCCAGTCGTCCGCCTCTTTCTGCTCGGGCGACCTGAGGTCCTGGAGCCGAGGTCGCGGAGCGCTAATCATTGCAGAGAGCCAACGCTAAGAGCTTCAGAGGATCCAACCCGCGGTAGCAAAAAGGCGTGAGAAGACTTAGTTAGACTTTGCTCCTCGGACTCCAGCTTGACACTTCGCTCGCATGACTCTCTGGGGCGTGCCTCGGGCGGTGCCTCTTCCTTCTTCGGCTCCTCCTTCTTCTTGGGAGCTGGAGAAGGCCTCTCGTTTGGATGCTGGATCGCTGCTGGGTGTGCCATCTCGGCTGAGGGCTGGGCTCAGGTTTGTCGAAATCCTCACCGCCTGGCAGCACTGCAGTGCGACAGCGCAGAAAAGCACATGAGCCATGTCAAATGTCAAGCATCCGATTGAAGCACTGCAATAGGCCTACGGCTCAAGATTCTGGGCGAAGGGACGAAGGTGTTCGGGGCTCGAACCCGGGCAGCACGCCATGGAGCAGGCCGGGTGGAACAGAACCGGGGACAGCGGCAACTCTGTCGGCAGAACTCATGGTGCTGACATCGATGCCCTGCATGGCCATGAAGAGTTCTAGTACTCTTTTGTCCTGACACAGCAACAGATGGGCGGATGTCTCACCTCTTTCGACCAAGTCATCGAAGCTCATGCTTTGCTTAGCTTGGGATATGCTGTCAGAAGTTTTGTCATCGGAGGTCTCAGACCTGTTGCGACAGAGAGGGAGAGAGGTTGTCTGTGCTGCGACTTTCTGCAAGAAGTTGTCCTGGTTCATCATCTGCATGATCATCTGCTGCTGCATGTTCCCTGGGAGTGAGGCCAGCATCTGCACCTGCAAAAGGCTGCTCTACAATCCGGCGATGCTTCAGATCCCGATCATGAGCGGGCATCTGAGCTCTTCTGGAGCGGTTCACCCATCGCCAACACAGAACATGGGCTACTCAAACGGGACTGCTCACAGATGCTACTGAAGCTAAGCCGTCAGAATTTCGGCTGAAAAACCATTCGAATCTGCATTCCTCTGAAAAGACTTCTATTTTCTCTTGAAAACCTATTCGCAACCTATTCGAGAGTGTTTATCTGGTTTTGGAGTGAGGACAAGACTGCAGGGAATTAAGAAAGCACAAATTCGACAGACAGAAGTCGTGTTTGGGCATGTTGGAGCTTGCAACTTGGCCAGAGCAGAATTACCGAACAGAGTGGCGCCTCAAGCGCCTAGAGAGTTCCGGAGCCACGGGGTGAAAGCCTGTGGGTTTGGAAGAAAACACCCCGACAGGTGAGTGTCGGCCGGTTTCTCATTAAGGAATTGCGACGAGCAAAGCCGTGCAACGGCCCTAAACGGGTAGACAAGCCAAAGGGGAAAAGGCACAGGAAATGGAAAATTGACCAAATTCCCACCGCCCCCTCCTCCCCCGAGGTCTTCAGCCTCCCCACACGACGGCCTTTCGAGAATAACGAGGAGCTACTAAGTTCCAAGAAAGTCCACATGAAACTTCGGTGGAGTAACTTAGCAATGCCATTGTCATCGCCATGCTGACCTGAGTCGAGTGTGCTTTGGAGACCCCCTGTGCAGCAAAAAGGGCACGAAAACACTGGGAAACTCTCGAGTCGGACAGCTGATAGATGAAAAGACAGGGCGAGAGGCTCTTTTTTCTCCATCCCTTGAGTGCCGCCCTGATCCCCTTTCTCAAAAACTAATTAAGCACGATACAGTCGATCTGAGTCTTACAGACGACTGGAATTGTACAGCTCCAACCACTCGCCACCGAAGCAGACAGTCTCATACATGCTCGAAATGCGTGTTGCGACGCTGTGGTGCGACTTGACCGCTGTCAACCTCCCCAGCTGGGGCCTTCTGCATTAGCTCCTGGTCCTGCATGTACTCCTGGACAGCTCGCGGCGCGTGGGCAAGAAATCACAACGGTGCTTGTTCTGGCCTTGATCTTGGGATTTCTGACTGCAGCAGCTGTAAGAGCCTTAGCAGATGGTTCATGCATGGATGAACATGTGGGTCTGCAAGCAGCACGTCACCGTCATCTAATCTCGAAGTGTCTGACAAGCCGGGTTGCATTCTGCAGCGAGTAAAGGTGGGAGCACGTGCAAGCACAGAGCTCTGTTAGAAGCCTTTGCCTGCGATCCCGGGTCTCCGACAGCGGGGTCAAATTGCAGGCCGCCGCCGCCTCCGCCAGCACCTGCACCAGTCAGCGGCGAAGTGCTCATCATCTACTGGCCACAAACTTCAATCAAAGGAGAGGCTTCTCGAGACTTTTCTCGCTGCACTCACCTGGAGACTGGGATCAGAGCTCATCACGTCCTCTGAGTCCCTGTTTAAGTCACACGATCAGCAGCGTGGTCAAAGACCGAGCACGTATCCAATGCCTGGTGCATGTTCTTCAGTCGTTCTTCAGATGCTTTTAATTTTTGCATTCTCGGGATCACCCAGTGATATGCGGATGCCGCTTATTGCTTCGCTGCACCATGCTGGAGCTCAATTGACTGTAATTTCGCGAAGACACCGACTATGCCGCAGCCAGGGCATCAAAGCGTCGGCCATCTGTTCGTATCCCAAAACATGAAACCACGCACTGATTGATGCCATGCAGCCTGCCGATAGTTTTCTCGTACAGATGGAAACCGGTCGTCCTGCTTCTGCGACCTTTTTTGTCACTACTTGGCCATTGATGTAGTTAAATCACAAGTCCTACCCTGGATGTAACTTGTGGATATGATATAGCGACATGCTCTGTTTCTTCTCAGGAACGTTAATCACATCCACAAGCATCGCAGGAATGGATTCTGATTCCAAGCCTTGCCTACATCGCAGGCCCGCATATTCTGAAACTTCACTGGGTCGACTTTGAAGTGGCACAGCCCAACAGCGGGCCTGCACTCGTTGGGTGCCATCAGTACTATCATCCGCTTAGGGCCTAGATACATGCCGTAGCGACTGTAGCGCGCGTATGCGGGGGTTGCTTTGAGGCCCGCACTGCTGGCACCGTAAACGTTGCGCTCAGAGTTCCTCTTTTGGGAAGCAACAGCGGTCATAGTTGTACACACCGTCCTGGCATTAGCAGTCTCAAGCAGCAAAATCCCCGAAGGACACAGCGAGCAACACGGCCGTAGCTTTCCACGAGACCGCAACACTTGCTCGCAGGCGCACCCAGCACTGTGCGTTGCCGTTCGGCCCAAACTTAGCTTCGCAGCCTCAGTGCGAATCAGGGAACTGGAAGAAGGCTTACATACAACCCACTTGGACCTCAGAGCCACCTTGGGCAGCGGCAATTCTCGTAGCCGAAGCCCTCTGCCCAGCACTCGGAGTTGCCCAAGGGCATGACCTCACGGAGCAAACGCTGCCTCCACACTCTCCAGACTTCATGCCGGCGCTCTCAGCCCTCACATAATATCCGGTCGCTGGTCAGCTGGGTAGCGAACGGTGGTACCTGGCGGAGCACACGCCTGGCCCGAGACAGTGAGTACACGTGGCTGCTTCGGTTGGCATGGAGGAGGCGTTTGACCCCGGCATCTGCGCATGCACGTGTCGCACTATGGATCATGGCCCTTGGATGATAAAGATACTGCACGATGCAGAGTAGCAGAACAGTTGTCCTGAAGGCCCTGTGTAGTGAGAGCTCCCATCCTTTTTGTTCATCTTCCTCCCTTTCTGTTAGGCCTTCGCCGTTTCAACATCGTGCAGAGCCGGGCCGGGCCTTGGAGCCCGACACCCAGCCCTCTCCGGCTTCCCGGCCAGCCTCCCCGGTCCTCACAAGAGAGCGGACATTTGAACGGGAAGGCTTTTGCCTGGCGCTCTGATGCTCCCGTCCGGAACCAGCACTTCTGCTCGCCTTCCTCGGTGCCCCAGACCTGGCAAAAGACGGTCCCTTCAATCTTACCATCCCCAAAAGTAGAGTCCAAGGGCCGAGCCCAGAATTTGCAGTCTGGCAAGGAGAAGCAAACCTGGCGCGCACATCAGCCGTAGACCCGGTCAGCCCGTTGTCGCAAGGATCGACAGGGCCCGAAGGATTAAGAATGCGTTGGAACGGGTCAAGGCAAAGGGCCTTGGCACAGGACTCGATCTCGCTCGCCACAAACCTGCCAGGGCGCGGATGGCTCGGAACGGGAGCGGGTCGGCCGGCCTATGAGACTGTCAGTGGGCAAGGAGTTTCAAGCCAAGGAACTTGTCAGAGCTCATGCAGTCGTCGAGGAAGCAGCCAATGGTCGCTCCGTAGCCCTCGGGCTGCTGCAAAGATTCGAATCAGACAGATGACATGAGGAACCTGGAGCCCGTAACACAACACCTCTCATGCAAAGATGCGGTTGCTGTTGAGGCGGCCTGCAGATTGGTGAACAATGCTTGTCCGGCATTCCTGATGACGGTGTTCTGCTCCTGTCGAGAGACTCTCTTATGAGCAAGGCCAGCCCCCCATCCCCATAGCACAAACGGAAAAATGTCTACGTCCCAGGGCTGCCATGATGCCAAACTCCCTTTGGTTTTTATTTCGAGATTAGACCTCTTGCCGCCTGTGTTTCAGGATTCCGTTGCTGAGTGCATCCAGCTCTGCACGGTGCAAGCCAGGCATCATGCAAACAAAGCACAGCGAAAACATGTTGCAAGGATGTGTGCGTCAACTGTTGCCTGACAACCAGGCCAGTTTTGGGCCGCCACTATGCCAATGCACATCAGCCTGCAGCCAAAGGCCACCAGACTTGCATCATGAAGAGGCTGCTGACTTGATGTTTTTGTGGTGAGACACATCAGCGAAAAGCAGTTGCTGTGCCTTTCCCAAATAATCTTTCAACCACTCCGGCAGATGCATGCAAACAACTTGATTGACAGGCCTCGGAAGAGATCTCAGCATGACTCCTGCAGAATGTCCTGGCATGAGAGGGAATGAGGCCTACGGATTCCACAGAAAGAAGCAGGAGGGCGACTTGGTAAGGTCTCGGGTGCCCCTCTTCGCAGCTTCTTCACCAATCGCATGGGCTTCTTCATGAGACAGCGACGCTAGCACTCTCTTTCTTTCAGTGGGCCTTTCAGCACTCCCCCTGTCTTCCTTTCTCTGGGCCTGTCAGTGCCGAAGGTGTGCCGGTGCACCGGAGCTGAAGATCGAAGGCCCGGAGTGGATTTGAGCCGAAACACCACGAAAGCGTGAAATGCAAAATCTAACACTGTGGGAGGTTGCCTTTCCCTTGCATGAGCTGCCATGCAGATCCGAAAAGTTGCCTGCGCCAGGTACGTCGTATTTGGCATCCATGGCCTCAGCAGATAGCCAACATGAAGCCCCCGAGCGCCCATCCCTGCTGCTAAGTGCGAAGATAAACGCTCTGTGGCGAAGGCGCCCATACCATGAAGCACAATTAAATTGCCAAGCGCTGCAGGCTGCTTCCCTTCTGCGCTCGGACAGTCCAAGGGCGGAAAGACTAGGGGGTAAGTCGGAACCCGGCCTTCTTCAAGCCCTCTTTCAAGGTCTGATCTTCTGGCGCCAGCTTGAGCCCAGCCTGTCAGAGCTGTGTGCTCCGGGCTCTTGCAAACGTGACACTTTCTCGCAGACTTTCGAACCTCGGAAGCGGCCCCAAGTTTGCAAAAACCCCGTTTTTGCGACCCGCCTTGTAGGTCTCAGCAGCATCGTCGTACTTCTTCAAGAAGAACTCTGCAAGTCCCTAGCGGCCCGCTCGGTTCCCTCTATTCAAGCCTTCAGCCTCCTTCACTGGCTTGTCGGACTTCTCTGTCGCGCCTTTCGCGTGTATCCTTTGGGCCAATCCGGCTTCAGCCGCACACACTCGGCCCCATCCTGCGCATAGCACTCAGGTGCAACTGCAGCCTCTTCAAGCACCCTTCGTCTAGTCTAGTCCTCTAAAGCCTTGTCGTACTGCTCGAGAGATGCATAGCATGCAGACCTCGGCCGACCAGGCACGGTGACCACCTATTCTTCGGCTGCAACTCGCACTGAGACCCTTTGGGTTTTGAGACCGACAACTCACAAGAACAGCCCATTATGCCGTCCAAAACCCTGTCCCACATGGCGCGAGGTTTTGAGGCATGCCGGATGCGTACTGGCGGGCCTGTTCGAGAAGAAGACGTGGTCGCTGGGGTCATGCTTGATGGCCTATCAAGCTTTGATACTCTCTACCCTGACATGGATCCCCTTCCCGCAGGCCGGCAAGCTTCAGTTTTGTGCGACACGCCCGTCCCTCCGTTTGCGCCTCTGTGAAGTGCTTGATGGCCTCCTTGAAGTTTTTCGCCTCACAGACAGACAGAGACCTACAGAGAGAAGAGCAGCCCTTTAAGAACCCTACTGTAAGGCCCTAAAGCCTGAATTCTTCCTGCTCCTCGCTCCTCTCTCCGGCCGGCTGCGCCGCTGCGCCTGGAACTCCACGTTGCCCTTGGCCTTGGCCTCGGCCGCTTTGGCTTTATCAGCCATGGGGGGCCGGCACCTGGCGAGAAAAGGAGAACCCTCTCTGAATAAAAAGCGTTCGGACATGCGGAAGTGGTGAAAGAATCCGCCTCAACACCACACGTTGAATTGAGCGGAGCTTCCCCTCCCCTTGAAAATACTGCGAAGCGATCACACAAGCATGCATTTGCTTGCAGAATTGGTTGCATACACGTGTGTGTGTGTGTGTGTTATGTGTATAAATATATATATATATATATATATATGGTACCCCCCCCGGTACCTAGGTCTGCTCTTTTCCCTCAGGAGCATGAAAACCAAAACTTGGGTAGCGGAGGGAGGGGGTCGACATTTCCAAACTATAGCTCCGGCTCAAGAGGTTTCTCGAAATTCATGGAAATTGTTGGTTTGACCAACATTTTCCATGATTTCCCACAGACAAATCATCGAAATTGTTGGTTTTACCAACATTTC